TATATATATATATATATATATATATATATATATATATATATATATATTAGTATCTTAGCCATTGTCTTGTTTTAATACATGCAGAGCAAGTATATTATTAGAACATTTAGTTGACTTTTCTGCCTTAAGCAGAATGATGGGTGAGAGTTCATGATGCATAACAATTTTCCTAATTATTCTTCTCCTCCCAGGGCTAAAGCTGCAAAGTAAGGCAAGAGGTAGTTTAGTTATCTGATGTATTCATTTTCTTGCTCTGAGACATCTACAAAAGAGTGTACAACAAAAAATGAAAAACCAGTTTGAGGACAGATCATCCTAGAGTAAATCTATTCATATGGCCACTAAGAGTCCACATGTACTTGAGGGATATGACTGTAATAAACAGGGATAAATTCCATTTCACTTTGCATCTACATAGTATTAATATTTCACATACTTTAGAATAGATCATAAGGAAGAAAGTTTTTATTTCTAGAGCACTGCCACAATGTTTTTAAATTATAGAAGACAACAAACATTTAATTGTTTATCATCTGTTCTAAAACATGTTTAGTTTGATTCTGAATTTGTTCTTCTTAATGTGCTTAAATGAAGTTGGTACAATATAGGGTTGTTTAATTTTCCAGCTCAAATTGTCTTAAAGTAAGCTATAAGATGAACTTTATTCAGCTGAACTTGTCCTGAGTTAATCCTATGCATGGCCCTTTTAAATTTACTAAATTTAGGAAAATAATATTTGAAGTAATTTTATTAATACATCTTGTACTACCGCTTTTGGTTAAATTAGATGAATGGTTTAGGAAGGCTAGAACATCCTTCAGGTGCCGTTTATGAAGGCGAATTCAAGAACAACATGTTACATGGAACAGGAACTTATATATTTCCCAATGGATCCAAATATACTGGACAATTCAATGAAAATAAGTAAGTTGAAAAAATTACTGCAAAAAATTAACTTAGTATCTACTACAGTAATATAGCTAGTTTGTATTCGAAATTTAGTATTGGTTTATGTATGTAATCCAAAACATACTTAATTTGTTTCTGGCTTACTGCGTTATGTCAACCTCAAAAAGTCTGGCTTAATTTAAAGGCCATAGCCTAGCATTCAGGACAGGATAGGAATATACCATATCTGAAAAGATTTCAAGATTTTAATTTTGCTATTGAAACTCCTTACAATGTTTTATTTCTATATTTCTTCTATCATTGTTTGGATAATTTTATTGTAGTGGTCGTGTTATCTGTCTTAATTTGTTGTACCTCATTTTACTGTTTTATACAGACAGACAGTATAAAGAACCTAATTAAAATAAGTCAATATTATTGTTTTAGCAAATTGTGTCTCAAAATACCTCTAGGAGTACATGATTATGGATAGTTTCTTTCTTTCGTTTAACCTGATATTTTTGTTTTCATCTCAGGGTGGAAGGGAAAGGAGAATTTACAGACACCCAAGGGCTGGAATGGGATGGCACCTTTCACTATACAGCAGCACCAGGGCTGAAGCTAAAGTTAGAAATGTAGACTGGTTTGGACTGATAGAGTGAAATCAAATCTCTGTTACAGAGTTTTCAAGCAAATAGTTTTATATATAGTTTAATAGAGACAAATTACTATTTTTAAAAATAAAGTTTAAACAGGTAAAATAAAGGTCTATTTATTTCTTTAGCTTTCAGAACATCATCTTTTTCTCTTTATTTAATTGTACACATTGTATATATATAAAATAATACATATCATTTTATATTTAACATGCTAATGTTTAAAAATGTTTTCTAATAATTATAAAAATTCAATATTCAATAGTTCAATATTAGCAGTTGAGATATTTGGGAAGAATAGGAAGTATGCAAAACAAAGTAAAATTTAATTAAATCAATATACTACATGTATATAAATAAGTGGTTTAAAGTCTGCCATTTTTATCAGTCTGTTTTTAAATAATACATTAAACATGAATTGAACTTACACCAATGCTTCTAGTGGATTTCTTACCTTCAATTTTGCATAAATCTGTTGTAAAGTGTAGCCCAGACCTTCACTGAGATACTGGCTTTACATTGGAAGTTTGTTAATATACAATTTATTTCAGAATTAACAAATATCTCAAACAGATAAGTTTGTTAAAATAATCCAATATTTTAGCAACAGAATTTCTGAACGCAATGAGTTTAACTTTCCAGCAGCCTATGGAACCTATGGGGATTAGTACCATCTCCTACTCCCTTTCATTTCTGGCTATAGGTAAAAGTTCCCCTCGCATATGTGCTAGTTGTTCCCAACTCTAGGGGGCAGTGCTCATCTCTAGCCCAAGAGCCAGTGCTGTCCGAAAATGTCTCCATGATCATGTGGCCAGCATAACTAAACGTCGAAGGCGCATGGAATGCTGTTACCTTCCCACCAAAGATGGTTCCTATTTTTTCTACTTGCATTTTTACATGCTTTCGAACTGCTAGGTTGGCATAATTTCAATGACAGTGATGGAAATAATAATTGTGTCACCACTGACATGAACAGATTTACAATTCATATTGCAGTTTCAGTCTTTAAATATACTTAAATGATAGATAATTATCTGCCAGGATGAGCAAGTACATTCCAGGTTGGATGCACACTTGCTGTGATATAATGCTGGATCTCAACACTTCATTGTTTGTACTTGATCAACAGTGCACTGTTGTAAAAAGAACCCTGGAAGACTGAGACTTCCACAAACTAATTTCCATTTAGAAATTAAACATACTGTATAAATGACATTTTTAGTGGAATACTTAGACTATTTTAACATTACAGGATCACTCAATAAAAATAAACTCTAAGTGCCCCTTTCATTACCATCTGATGTATCTGATGGTCCAATGCCTCCTAGCTTTACCATGGTGGCTAGCCATACAGACTTCCCAAAATAGTACTTTCTGGCTAGATTACAGGAAAGCTTTCATTATGTCAAGTCAACATGGACAGGTAATCATCATCATCTTCTTCTTCTTACGATACCATAATCCCTTGTGGGGTAGAGCCTGGGCAACTCAATGGAGCAAGCAGAGTGTTTTAATGGCCGGATGCCCTTTCTATCACCAATGCGGAGTTTTGTTCAGCAGATATATTCTCAGTGTGCTCAGAGAGAGAAATATCTGCCTCTACCTAGGATCGAACTCACAGCCTCCTGACTGTGAGGCAAGAACACCACCTCTAGACCAGCACACCACTCCTCAACATGGACAGGTGTTGTAGTCCATTAAATAGACAGAGCACAAGCAGATTGAGGAAATATTAGTAAATTGAACTGATTTATGGTCACATTTGCTGGATAAAAAAATGCTGGAAATGTGCACATGATCACTTTCCAATTTATGAAACACCAACAGCATTGCTTTGAAGTACAATTAATGCATACATTTTGGTTGCTTCTAAAAAGAAAAAAAATCAAGTAGAATTTTATAATTGAGCTAGCTTTTCTCAACTGGGTTCCTGCATTACCTTAAAAGTTTCATGAGAGATTGCTAGGAGTTTCCACAAGAGATTGTGATTGAAAAAATATCAAACTTCATTTCACACTGCACAATGCTAATATTTAAAGCTGTGTAGCTTAAAGATGAATTGTATTATAAAGTTTTTTCTTTTTTCTTTTTCTTTTTTGCAATTTTTATAGAGATTCCTTGAGACCCGTACATTATTTCCAGGCTCCTCTAGGGTTAAATAGTGAAAACTCTGGTTTAAGAAATGTACAGTAGCTGCTGTTTTTAACCAGCAGGGAGAATGTGACCTGAGGATTGCATAATTAGAAAGTTTAGATTAGACATGCGTGGATTTTAAATGAATAATTACTGTGTGATAGACCTACTTCAGAAATAATCAGCTTCTACAGCTATCTTTTCCCCTTCGTTTGAGATAGTCATTGTTTCAAAGTCATAAAGGAAGGATCTGATAGATACCGTGAGAGAGAAAGAGAGTACAGCCAAGGGTAAGTTTAAAATTGACTGTATTTCCACTTTTAAATAATTAATAATTAAATGTTGTAATATTAATTGAGAATAAACTTGTTCCTTATGTGACTGACACACATGAACAGCAAGAGATTGTAAGAGATGTGCTCTGATACATTAGGTAAATGTTCAGCATAGTTTTAAAGCTGAAACTATGTATAAATTTTACTAACTGGAAATAATTATATGAGCAATTGACAGATCACTGTCAAGCTTTGTTCATTTATCTTTCTTAATGAATGGAAAAGTGCTGGGAACTAGTAATCACAAGCACCTGAAATCTGAAACTACAGTAGTGTTTAGCATGCCAGCTGAGCTGATGCTTCTCCTCTGGTCTCCTAAAAAAGCTGTTGAGGACAAAAATGGGCAAATAATAAAACAAGAAAAAACATTTCCTTTCTTTTAGAATTGATATAACTAGAGATCTAATACCTGTCTATGGCAAAGTATCCTACCTATACTTGCTCTGAATGTGGATTGAAGTTCCAATCTTAATGATACCCTTTCATTTGGATTACTGCAATGTGTTATATAGAGAGCTGCTATTAGAATCGGGATGTTTGAATACAAAAACAAGAATTTAAATTGGGTTTTTGTACTGGCATGTATTATATAGATATCACCTTCCTTGGCTCTTAATTGCTTCCAGGCTCAGGCCAATATATTGCCTTCATTCATCAGATCAAAATATTCACGTGTACCTACCTACTGATATGTACCTATTTTCTCCATAACACGAAACATTTCTGAGAGATTCTGGAAGTAATGTAATGGTCATAGGACTATTACCCTTGCACTTGCACCTAGAAAATTTAGGTTGTACAGTAAATAATATAAAGATAAACAGACCCAAGAAACCATGTCCCTCCAGACATCTAGGTGGCCTCAGCCTTGTTAGCCTTTAAAAGGCTCTGAAGACCAGGCGTTCTTCCAAGTATTTGAGCTAGGAGGTTAAGCAACCTCTGCTGGTAATGCCTCTTTTATGATTTGGGTTTATTGTTTTAATTTTGGGTGTCATGTAGAATGGTGAAATGCTGTTTTAATTTTGTATTCCACCCAGTTACTCTTGTGAGATGAGTATCCATAGAAGTCATGTATATACATAACTACTCAAACAGGTAGCACAAAGATTATACTATGGCTAGTACAGAATCTTGTAAGAATAGAAGCAGGTTGGTTCTTGGTTTGAAGTGCTTCATTGAGACCAGAAGTGTCTTGGCTTTCTCTTCTCAGTAAAAGTTTTCATAGAAACTTGTTTTAGAGAGAGCCAAATACCATATACTCCACTGGTAATCAATAACCTCATTATATTTTTTCTTCTGCTAAAATTAGGAACTCTTTCATCTAATTTATATGTAAAAGTTCTTTAAAACAATGGGATGGATTTTTCCCCTCAGTAAAATTTCAAAGTGGGAAATATATTGAATGAACTTGAAGCAATATCCAACATATTTAAGAAGCATGGACTCAAATAGAAAAGAAGGTAACTAATATATTTAAACTCTTAAATTCTTCTTTATTCTTACATAATATTGCATTTAGCAAATTTTAGAAAAACATTCAAAATATAATGCATAGAGGTTAAAAAACAATGATGCTTAAGGAATCTGTGATGGAAAAAGCTAGAAAAAATGCTTTGACATATGGAAACAAAATGCTCTGCGTGTAGAAGCCAATTGATTCCTGAGCAAAAGCTCATTGAAAAAGTTGCTAACACGAATTCTATAAATTCTGCCCAACATCCAATTTGAGATAAATGTTATTAGAGCTATGCTGTACCCCTTGTTATTGAGAGGAGAAACAATAAGCCTAAATTGCAAATTATGATTGAAGATAGTGATAGAAATTTATATTGCTGTATCAGTTGTCCAAACCTTGGGAGATTGAATAGACAAATAACAATGAACCATACATTGGCGATCCAATTTCTGTTGCAGTTCTAACAGTTAAACGAAGACCTGTAATCTAGAGATAGGACTCTTGTGTATCCTTATTGGACAATCTCCCCCCAACCCTTCCAAGGCCTCTTTAGTAGGAATGGGATGAGGGAGCTAATTAACAGGAGAAACAAGTCATCACATTAATCAGGAGCACTGATCCTAGTAAGAGAAGGAACCCAGTTTTGCAGGTAGGATTCATTTACACCAGCACCAAACTTCTTTGTCTACTGAAAATGATTACAAAAACAAGTCATTGACGTGTGAAGATTATGCATGTTACAATTGAAAAGAATATCCTTCCCCAATAAATTAAAAGTATATTGATTGGTATATAAAATGTTAACATCTCCAATGGCACACCAGAAAACAACCAAACTGTTGCAAATAGTACCTTTAAAAAGGTCAACAAGAAACATACAAAATAGTAGAAGTTATGGGCTGAATGTTATGGTAAAGAAAGAAACATACAAAAAGATAAAGGCATGAGTGTTGGAGAGCACAGTAGATATAGAATCAAAGACAGAATCAAAGATAGGCAATTATGTCATTCCACAAATGTAAAATTTGGAATTGAAGCAAAAACATTTCATGATGAATAAGATTAAAGTGTGATACTGTATCTGTGAAAAAGGGTAGTATGTGTTACATATTTTTACTCCAACCTATCCCAAGTAATTTTGAATCTGCTTATAGTCTTCATTTTAAGTGAGAGAAAACTGTCACAGTTCATACTTAAAAAACTCTTTCTCCAGGTAGTTTCTGATCATTGTGGTAACTCCCCAAACAATCAGAAGAATTGAAGCAGATTAAGTGCCTTGTGTTTATTAATTTGACCGGACTCCTAGATTTCAAAGATGCCATCAATACCTTTTTCTACAGGCTTTGAAGATGGAAATGTTGTGAGCATCTTTCTCTTGTAATTTGCAGATTAATAGCTACCAGGTTTTTGCAAACATAGAGCTATGTTTGTACTGTACTGATATATGTTTTAGGATATTTTGGAAGATATTTTACATTAGCGGGTGGATGGATATTATATAAAAGCTGTGCCCACAAATCCCATTTGCTAGTATTGGCTGAAGTGGAAATTAATTTTAGGATGTTTTCAATTAACTGAGTTCCCAATTGGGACGTAAGATACAGGATTTAGATTAGAATGATAACCATCTCTGTACATCTTGATGTGTTGATTTTTTTTTTGAAGTCAGAAGCTTTCTGGAATGTTGCACATATTTAGGGTGTTGTAACCATGTATGTAACCATATTGGGCATTTTGTCAAAAATGACTAAATTGGGAGATTGGAACATTAATAAAATGGTTGCCATGGTAGTCATGGCTTTCCTTTCCTATCCTGCCGTGTCCTGCCCTGCTTTTAGATGCTCCTGTTAAACCTTTTAAACTCTCTTTTTTCTGGTTAGTTAGGCATATTTCTAAAGCAAACCTACTATGACCCATATTTGTATTTTTGAAAAATAATAAGTAATAACAGTGTTGCAACTTCATTAAATGTATTTATTTAAATTTCTAAAAATAATTCTGTCAATGACAAATCGTATTATTGAAATATATATATATATA